TGTAATCATTTGCTCATGAATATAAAATAAAAGAAATATCATTAATTATTACAGAAGCATTTTTTATAATATTGCATATGGGTTAACAGTATTACTGGGTCACCTGGGAAAGAATTTTAAAGTACAGTATAAAATGTCAATTCCTGTATTTTCTTTTGGGTTTTTAAAAACCTGTGTCATTTGTTAAAAGCATGCTCAACCAGAAGTCTTAGCAGAGCATATAGGTGAAATTGTTGGGTAACTAATAATTATAGTTCTGCACTTAAATATCAAAAATGGGGGAATTTTTTTGTCAGTCTGGGGAAATTATTGAAATTTTATGCACTTCTTTTGGTGTATATTGTTACCAGACTTGTATTGCATGTAATTAATCTAAATTATTACTCCAGATCCTGCAACCTGAAATATCTTATTCCTGTTGGTGGTCTTTCACGATTATTGGTTCAGGTTTCACCTTAAAAGCTTAGTCAAAACCTAATTGTAATTATTTATTATATATGTATTTGTAGTACTTGGAGTAAAAAAAAAAAAGGCAAACTGCTTTGAGTCTTGCTGTAGGTTACTTTTCTTCTTAGAAAAGCCTCTGCTCGTTTTATTTTTAGTCCTATGCAGTGTGGGCCAAATAATTTGAAATTTTACTTTCACTTAAACTGCTTGCTTAAAAACTGAGACAAAATGGTTCAGTTATTAGGAGCTAACTGTCTTTAAGCTATGGATTAGTAAACAGTCACTGTAATGGTAATTGAATATGATGTGTCTCCTATCCTTGTGTTTAAGTAGACAATAATTTTAGTATACAAAACAATTCTATGTATTCTGTTAAAACTTTGTTACTTCTTTATTGGCTTTAAGGCAGAGATCTGGGTATTGTGGCTTTAGCACCAGAGACTCTATCCTCAAACACTTTTCTGTGTTACTAAGCCAAGCAGTTATGTTGGTATTAACAATAATTAGTTCTGCAGGAACAGATCAGTAAACGAAAGCAGTTGCTTCTGAGAATGCTGCATCTTCACTGCACTGTGGTTGGAAGGTGTGTTTTAGACCAGTCTTGTGTTCCCTGGACAGAATGTCTGTACTGTGCACAGGTTCCCAGTGTGGAACTCGTGTTGTTAGTCTGGGCTCCTGAGGACCCAGTACTATTTGGAGTTGGAGCACTTGTGGGTTAGAGCTTCTACTTCATTTTCCTCAAAAAGAAATCTCATTGCCATACACCAGGAGTGCTCTGTAAACCAAACCACTACCTAGGAACAACCAAGGAATGTGCCTCAACACCACAGTGTTGTTTCACACCAAACTGTTAATCTAAGTGCAGCTGTAATATGGGTTTTCTTACCCGCAAGTACTTTTCCACAGACTGAAGGTGTGTTTGCATATACTTAGCAACTACTCTGCAGATGTGTAAACGTCATTTGTTTATAATTGTTCTGAAGTTGTTGTATGATCATTTTTCTTCCTTGCTGTAGAGTTTTTTCCTGAATTATTTCTAATATCTTAATATAAAATACCAATATAAAATTATAAAATAAGTAAAATTAAAATGTATAAGAAAGAGCAGCAAAAAAACCCTTGAGCTAGCAGGATTTTAAAACAACAGACATTCAGAGCCTAGCTTTCCTCAGCCTCACTTGGCACCCAAGTCTTACATATTCTATACACTAAAAATAAAGGGAGGAGGGGAAGATTTTTAATTCCTAGGCTTCTATAGCTTGGGATGGGTGTATGTTTGCATCTTGTAGGCTCATGTCTTGGATTCAAAATTCTTATGCTACTCCCTTGAAGTAGTGTTATTCTAAAACCTGATTTTATGTACATGATATGGCAGCTGGTTCATTATTGTAGTCTGTATCTGATAGTCTGGCCACAGCTTGTCTCGTGCTTTAGAAAATGAGTTCATTGTTTTCATTAAACAAAAAATAGTATTTCAGATTCCAGCTGTTAGCTGAAATCCTCCTTTCTATATAATAACAGTTACTATCATTTTTGCATTTTCCAGTCTTTATGATGTCTGAATTTTTGGTTTTCTTACACTGTATTGTTTGTACATAGAGTAATTAAGACTGTTACATTCCTAATACTGGATAGAAGGCTATTCTTTTTCAGCTACTTACTAACAGAATAATGATTTCCTGAAATCGTACATAATTTTTCATTTTACTGTGCCACAGTTGCTATGTTTTGCTTGTTCTCAGCAGAGGTAAATAATTTTATGGGATGACTGTTCCATTTACAGGAACTTACTGTTGTGCATAGTGATCTAAAAGATAGTTGTTGTTTAGATAGTTGGTTCTGTGATGGTTGTGCAAAACTGGTTCAATTTTATTCTTATACTCAGTTTTATTGGTGTAAGTGACTCATAGGATGGTATGCTGGTGAGAGACAGCATTTTTCTGCATGAGAATATATATAGAGAGTTTTCTTTTCTTCCTTCCAACTTACTCTCCCTCCCTTCTTCTGTTTTGCCAAAAATGAGTGAGAATGAGGGACTGGCTTTGGATGAAGCTGGGGATTTGGTTACTAGAAGGCGAGGAAGATTGTGATGGATTCCTTTTACATATTAAGGGCAGACTGGTCCTTTGAAGAATTTCTCAATGTGAAATGTGTGTGTATGTGTACATGTATGTAATGCATCTGGGATTTCCAGTTTGGAAACAGTGCTCTGTGTGCTAATGAGGCCTAAGTCATTCCATTGCCTGCGGTTCCTCCCCCTTTTTTTTCCATATCTGTGTTCAAAACTTGCCCCATAAAGCATAACACTGTGCTTGTTAATTCTGACTACACCTCTCTGTCAAGCTGCTTGTTGAATCATAGTGGCTAAAGGTCATGTATGTATGTATACACTGTTTTATAAAGAGTTGACTGGATTTCATGTGAAAACAATTCTAAATATCTACTAGCATTTTTATGGCTCTGTATAGCTTAAGTGTTTCTCTGGAATAGATGAAGTAATTAGCAACAGTTATGGCAAGACCAGTTATATTTCCCACAGCTCACAACCAGTTTTGAGTGTTAGATTTTGTACTGGAACTTAGTCTTGCATTTTCCTTCAAGTATTACTCTTTCCCCTTTTTTCTAGGAGCTTGAGAGAGAGAGAATAACTCTGAGTAGAAAATATGTTTGTAAACTTGAGAATGTAATTCACTGGTATAGATTGTCCAATAAGTTAAGAAAAAAACTTTGTTTTTTACACAAGTAGCTAACAGGTTGTAATTTGGTCGAGGCTTGGCCATCTCTTGAGTTAATCCCTTATTATTATGTATGAAAAATCAGTGTAACAGGATTAAAAGATTCTTATGACTACCTCAATGACCAGTAAGATTGCCCCATTCAAGGATATTTCAGCAGTCTCTTCTCCCTGCTCAAAATATTCCTATTCAAAGTGGGAAATGGAATACTCTTGGATTAGTTCAAGCAAAAGTAAAACTTGAAAACAGATTTCAGAATGTTTATAGTATATAGCACCTCTTCCAGAATAATCATTTTATGTAGAACTCAATATCATTTAGCATATAGGCGAATTACATCAATTATTTTAAATTCCTGGGTGAGTAAAACAACATGTCTTGACTTTCAGCTTGAAAATATATCAAGAAAACATTAGAAATTGGTTATTCCTTTTAAGAGTTCTGGACCTGTCTGTTGCTTAGGTTATGTTTAAAGCAGTTTTAGCCAAAAATTGCTTCAAACTATTTTAAAAACTAATTGAAGAAATAAAGTACAAATGCATTTGGATTAGTGAGATATTTGGTACTAATATCTCTTACATCTTTTTTTCTGCATGTAACTGTTCAAAACTATCTTCAATTTATATGTTATATTTTAGAAGCCAGTTTGAGAGATTTTGCTCCTAATTTCGCCACCTATATAGGATTTATGTCTGAAATCAGACCAAATGTTGTTCTTCCATCTTCCCTCCCATTTTCTTTTGTCTGTCACCATCATCATGTTAGGCAATTTGAGATACCTATGATTCTGGAAATTTTTAAGTGGGTTAGAAATTATAATAAACTTTTACCAAGTTAACTTTTAGGAAGAAGAAATGAGCTTTCATCGTGGGAAGGATAGGAGAAGCTGGTGTTCCTATAACAAAAACTAGAAACTAGTGTTAAGGATTTTGCCTGTTGGAATAGGAACATAAGAGCTAATTTTATATAGCAATATGATCAGACTAGTTTGTATTTTTGTAGATATATAAGGCATCTGAAGTACACAGTTCAGTCTTTCTTTGGAGCATTATGGTTTGCCCTCACCCCAGTAACGCTAAAGCGCTGCATGCTGGTGGCTTTTGTTTAAACCTTGGAATAATACAATGTTTAAACAATTACTTTGTCTACAAAGTTCATATATTGTAGTTTAGATTTTATTATACAGTGAGATTCTTCTTTTTACGTGCATAATTCAATACTGATGTGTGTTTCCTCTTTATGAACGTACAGTTTTACTACGAAAAGTGACAGAAAATTCTACTTCACAGATTCATGTTTTCAGTGAATCCAAATTTGTTGTTGCCTAGCTAAGTTTTGATTTAAGTTCATTTAGATTTCAAGATGTTGGCTTTTTTCCTTGCGTTACTCTCATTAGTATTGCAGAGTCAATTGGTCAGTATAAAGGTACGAACTGGCTGCTTTTTTGGTTTTTTTGCACATCAACAAAAGTTTCCAAGTAGTTGTATCTGCATCTGTGTTGAAGAGGCTGTGGAGGTAGAGGAACTTAACATTTCATTTTGGAAAATTCCATGTCACACAAAAGGGAAAATTTATTTCGTCTTCATAAAGGATGGTTGGAAGAACTAAAGAGTACTGATTGACTGCTAAATGCAAAGCCAGTTTGTAAATAGATAAGAGAAATGCAGCTAAGTTCAGCCCATCCTGTTGTGAAAACTTGTGAGAAATACCAAACAGGAAATCTACAATAACAATTTCTGAGTGTCACTTTGCAGAGTGCAGCCATGTGTTGCTTTTTTTCATTTATTTTAAAAATAACTTGGTTTTGTTTTCTTTTAGCAAACAGGAGCATAACTCAGATGAAACAGAAGAATGCAGTGGAAATCAAACTAAAAAAGTTGCATCAGTTGAAAAGAATGAAGAAAAGTCATCGTTATCAAATACAGGAGATGTTCTTAGTTTGGAACACCAGGACAACACCTCAAAGAATCCTTTGCATGTAAAAGGAGCACGTTGTGATTCAGATAATAACAAAAAATTAGTAGATGAGAAACATAAAGGTAGTCACGATGCAAGTGAGTTAAAAACTTGCCAAAGTTCATGCAGTGTTATCTTGAATGAGCAGACTAAAGTACATAGTTTTGATGAAACTACACTTTCAGCACTGAACTCAAGGGACTTAAAACTATCATTGGGTGAAGATGTTAGTTTTGAGCAGTTCTTCAGAAAAAGAGATGAACCTGAATCCGTTAGTTCAGACATTAGTGAACAAGGCAGTATTCATTTGGAGCCTTTGACTCCATCAGAGGTACTAGAGCATGAAGCTACTGAAATTCTTCAAAAAGGTAATGTTGCACCTTCATCTAAGAATGCTGGACAGCTCTCTGAACAAACAGATGAGACCTCTAAAGAAAGCAGTCCCAACAGAATGGAAACAACTGTAAACAAGACAGATGAAAATGAAGCAAGCTGAAATTAAGTTAATTTTATTGTTTGTTGTAAACAAGGGGAAGAACACCATGGACCATTCCTGATGAGTGTGCTCATTGATGCTAATTATTAAAAATAAAAAGGTGCAGGGGGAGAGAAAGAGACACTAAAGGAAAGTTTTGCATAGGAAGATAGGGTGTGTGTATATGTACAACTGAATTAACTGAATTTAAAAAAGGTAACACTTTGAAATATATCTTCCTGTCTCTTGTGATATATCTTGTTAGATTGGCATTTCAAAGGAGGAATAAATTTTAATTTTTATAGTTAGCTAGCCTGGGGTATGGTGATTTGTTTGCCAAGAAAATGTTTTTTTAAATCCTTCAGTGTGACTGTTCACTGAACAGTGGAATTTAGTATGAATTCACTTCTGATGCTGAAATGGAGCACACTTGTAGTGATGGTTATTGGTCTGCTGGTCATTTGGGTAAACAAACCTTTGGACTTGGTGTCACATTCCTGTCTATAAAAGCATGTGAACAGAATTATATGAATCTATGCACCTCTGTAAAGGTGTAATCCTGCCAGGCTGCAAGCTTACCTTAATAAACTTTCAGTGAAAGTGGAATTATTACAATAAAAACATATATTTGTGGGGTTTTCAGTGTGCAGGCTGTGAGAAATACCGAACATAATGTATAAAGTAGAACATACTGCTGAAAATACTGTAGCGGTTAGGCTTTTACCACTTTTTTTAATTATTCTTAGCCATAGAGCCATAGGAATGATCTGTAAGTCACACCAAAGTATGGTTTAATGTAAAAACTGTTTTAAGCAAGAAGAAGGAAACTCCCAAACTGGAAACGCCGACTGGCATGCATTCTGCCATTTTGCAGCTGCTACTGGCTGTTACAAAAAGGACACAAGGGCATATAGAGTTGAATTGTACAGTTCAATTTCAGGAATTTTTGTATTTCAAATTGTGTAAAGAAAGATGGCTGCTGGTTTTGCTTTGGTTTTCCTTTTTTTTTTTTTCCTTCTAGTTAGCAGCTAGATATAGGAATGCATATGATTAATGGTAGCTTGCTCTTATGACTTCATTGCTCCATTTGAAACATTCAGAATGTGCTTTTAATTTACAGTTTTGTTTCTAATGAATGTTAAATACTTTGAACAGCTGTTAAAGCACTGCTGTAAATTATTACTTTTTGAGTAAATATTTGCAACAAAACTTTGTCTTTGTGCATAATTTTATGCTCAGTTTGAAACTTTGGGCATAGTCTTCCCACATTTTTAAAAAAGATTTAGTGACAGCTTCCAAAAAACTGTTACATGGTGAATTTGAGACTTATTGGGGGGGGGGGGGGGGGGGTGGGGGGGCGTTGTTTGTTG